CCTTCTCCTCCTCTTCTTTTTTTTTTCCTCCCCTCCCTCTCTCCCTCTCCCTCATTTCCTCACAAGCCTGATGTAGTCTCATCCATCTTTCTGGTTGGCCACAGCTCCTTAGCCACCTGCAGTCCTGCAGCCCAGCCTCTGATGGAGACCCACGCCATACACCTTCTTCGGCTCACTGTGCTGCCTCCTGGCTCTGGATGCCTGCCTCTGAACTATGCACTGGGTCTGGCTTGCCCCACTTTGGGGACAGTCCCACTTTGGGTCAGCTCCACCTATGAGGGAGCAAGATAGATACTGAAGGAGGTATCCAAGGCATCCCCTCCCCTCATCACACCCCCAGGAAACCCCGAAACTGCACTCATAGAGTCACCCATTCACTAGCAAATCCAGGGACCTCTTGCTGGGCCACTTGAGAGCATCTGTTAATGTGTGTCACCTCTCTTCTCCCTTTTCACATGTTTATTGAGATGTAACTCACACACCAGAAGCTTCACCCAAATACAGTGCATTTCTTGTATCCAGTTATATGATCATCACCGCTGTCTAACCAGAACATTGTCAGCACCCCAAAGGAAAAATCCGGTATCCTTTAGTGAATGAGTACCCTAATACACGCCTGTGGTGCTCACCATCACAGCCTCGGCGTGAAGCTGTCCTGAGCCCAAACACATGATGGCTGGAGCCAGTCAGCCTGTGACACTCCCACAACAGGTCTTTCCTGCCTGTTCCCTGTGGTAGGAGATCTACCAGGTGCTACCCTTGCCCAAGCACTGCCCCCACCCCACAGCCCACCAGCCCATCAGAGAGAGAGAGAGAGAGAGAGCAAGCCTCTCTTGCTCCTAGCTGCCTCTGCCTCTTGCTCTCCAGCATCTTCTGCCACCTCTGGCTTGTGCTCCTGCCCGGCCTGCCCTCTCCATGCAGCTGAGGGAGGAACTTCATAGCACACCTGATGGGTGCCTCTGTGCTGAATAGAGAGCGATCGACCCAGCCACTGGCTTGGAGCAGTGTTCTAGCCTCCTGGGACCTGCCTGCTTTTTCCTGGTTCCCCCCCCCCCCCCCCCGCCCCCGCCCTGACCCGCCACCTACCCCATCACCACTGCCTCAGTCACTATGCACTCCTCAGCTCTATGGGGTCACTAGTGCTCCAGAGACTTCGGCTCCCATCTCTTACCTGCCCCTTACTTTCCTGACACACAGCCCCTTTAACCTGGTCCCAGTGATGTCACCCCTAGGCTGCACTCCTGGATGACTCAGCACACTAAACCTGCTTTGCCACCTCACAAACACAGTTGCGTCTGTGCTGTGGTCAGGATGGATGTCCTGTTTGGTCCCCAGACTCCAATCCAATCATCTATGGATTGTGTGAGCATTAACATCACTGCTCACACCATGAAAACGGCCAGGCTACAGCAAAGGGCCGTAGCCAGACATACCTGCTTTGCAAGGGTGACGCCCTCCCAACCCCAGCACCACCAACAAAACAAAAACAATTCCTGGCGACAGGAACTGGAGTGTGTGTAGTTAGCAGCAGAGTTGGGCCTCTGCCAGGCTGTGACCCTCAGCTCTGGCCCTCCCTAGCTCCTCCAGGTCAAGGGTTGTAACAGAACCTACTCCGGGTTAAACGGCTGAATTTAGTTAAGCATGGTGAACAGTGCCTGGTGCACAGGAGACTCCCTGAAAGGGTTCGTGGGAGTACACAAGAAGCAGAGATTTGGAGGTCTGAAGTTCCAGGCCAGTCCGGGCAAAAAGTCAGCAAGACCCATTGCTTAGGGTTCATGATGCCTCTAAGGGACTTGGGGAATGTGCTGCCTATCTCCAACAATGAACAACAGACTGCTGGGAACCGTGGTCTTCCTGAGCTAAGTGGGTGCCATGGGCCCTCCCTCTGCTGGGACACCTTATTTTTCCCCCTGTGACCTTGCCTCCTTCAAACACTTTCTGTTTCCCAGAGGCTCCAGGCTTTTGTCCAGGACACTACTCATAAACAGATGAACTCAGTTCTATTCCTCCAGCAGCCCGCTACAGGTGCCTAAAGCAAGAAGACCCTGCTGTTACCCCCTCCTCTTAAGAGAGCTCGACTCCCGGTTCAGCAGGAAGTAGACAGAGAAACACTGGCTCCATATATATATACATATAATCCCAAAAGGCAGGAATGCTAGAGGAATGTCAGGTGAACAATAAAAACCCACCTTAGGATTGGACCCCTCACCCTTGCAGGCAGCTTACTGCCACCCTGCCACCCACTGGAAGGACATCTAATCTCAAGGAAATGACAAGCCACCACCTCGCCAGGGGGTTGAGAGCTGAGCAACTTATCTACCTAGTTACCACTTGTTTCCTCGAGCTTCCCCTAGTGATGGTTGACTCCACTCCAGAAGAATTTTCCCACCCAGTGGGGTTTCCCTTCCAGACTACTCCCTCATATCTACTCTAAGTCAGTAAGTAGCTATGGGCTTCAGTTCTCTTGCTGGGGACCCCTTCCACAGGGCTCCTTCCGAACAATAAACCCTGTGCTGATGTTTGAGCCATCTCTCTGCCTCTTCCATGCCTCTTTCATTTCTAACAACCATCTCTAATACTAAGGCAGGCAGAGTGGTGTGTACCTGGCATCCCAGTTATTCGGAGGTGTAGGTAGGAGGATCGAGGCTGAGGCTGGCCCTGGTAAAAATGACAGACTACCTGAAAAAGCAAAAAAGGCTACGTGTGTGGCTCAAGTGGTAGAGAGCCTGCCTAGCAGGCGGGGCTCCCTGAGTTCATGCTCAAGTACCACTCCAAACCAAGCAAGCAAACAAAACCAGATCTGTGACGCCTGTGGACTGGCACATCCTCCTTGCTGTCTCCTCTTTGGTTCACCTAAAAGCCTCAATAGCACTCCTGGTGCTTAAGATTTCCCCACCTGAATCCATAAAGTGCATCCCCAGGTTTGCCAAAGCCTCAGTCCCACCCCGAGCTTTTCCCGCTACTCTGACAGTCTGCAGAGGGGCTGAGATCTGACAGTGTGGGACACTGGATGACAGTGTGCTCTGGGGCCTCTAGCCTAAAGTAAAGGGAACCAAGTGTCTCCTCCAGGTATCTAGCCGCATCACAACAGACGCTGACCCACACAAATCACCTGTGGCGCTTCACAGGAAAACACTTTCCTCCGCGGTATACCAGGCACATGCCCCTCTGGTGACTCAGAAGCCCCTACCCTCTCATCTCCAGGAGGCCCCTCTGCACCTCCACCCTGGCACTCCTGCCTTGGAGCTGGCCTCTCACTCACTGCAGTTGCCTTGGGCAGACCAGGAGCTGCCAGATGGCCACAGGTGCCACATTACTGTCCTGTAGATGCTCCAGAGTCTCCTGAAGGTCCTAAATGTCCAGAAAAGACAGGCCCTTGGCTGTGCCCCAGCTCCAGGCAGCCTTTGTCAATACGGAAGCCCCAGTGACTGTGTGGGGAAATGGGGTGGTGGTGGGACCGCCAGGAGGGGTCGCCCCCTGCTGAGCTGGGGGGAGTGGGCACCCTGGCTGCACAATCCAAGGGGCTAATCTGCAGGGTCCACATTTGTCGCTGCTCTTGGTCACCCCTCTCCCTCGGGGGTTCACCGACTGCACGCCTTCACTGTCTCCTTCGCCCCCTAGAGCAGTAGCCTCCAGCCTTAGTCGGGAAGTCCACCTGGCTTGTGGCAGCCCCGAGGGTGGCTTCTTTTCTAAGGGGTTCCCGGCATTTTTGATGTCGCCGGTCCCCCGCCACCGCACTTTGCGACCCGCAGCGCGCGGGGGAGGGGCGGGTCTGGCTTTGCCTTTGGTGCGTGCGACGCAGCGCCCAGCTCAGAGCGCGTGACTCGGCGAAGGACGAGTCGCAGGGAGGACATCCGCGGGAGGGCGCGCGGGAGCGGACGTGCGGGACGCCGGGGGAGCCCCGCCTCCGCGGCGTGACGTCACCGCCCGGGAGAATGGTTGCCTCGGCGACGTAAACGCAGGGCCCCGGAGCGTGGAGAGAACAGCGGCGCGGAGCCTTCGGAGCGAGTCGGGGTGCGCGCGGCCGGTGGGTGCGCGCGGGGCCGGGGACCTGGAGCAATTGGGGGACCCGGGCGCGCGGGGCCCGAGTCCCGCTCGCAAAGCCCGCTTGCAAGGCTCTGCTCCCTTCTTGGCTCCTACTCTTACTTTGTCACGGACCTATGCATCTGTCCATCCCTCTGTCCCTCAGGCCCTGTGCACTCTTGCGAAATGGCCCAGGGAGCGCCCCGGACGATATGGGGACGGGTCAAGGCCTGTTCAGGCCAGGTTCCATCCGCCTGGAGTGCCTCTCAGTAGGGGGCCATGGCAGGAGTGTGGCAGGAATGGCCCAAGCTTCAGGGTCCAGGATCCCTGGACTCGATCCCGGCTCCAGCCCTCCGTGGCTGGATGACTTTGAACACCTGGCTTAATCTTTGCTCCCTCCTCTGCAAAAATGCAAATTCACTCGGTAGTTAAGGCTGCCAAGGACCTGCAGGAGCTTCAGTGGGCAGAGAGGGGCCCTGTTCTCTTTGGAGCTTAAGTTCTGGGGGAGTTGGCAATAAACTGATTTTTTAAAGTGTAATGTAGTTTGGTAACTGCGAAGAAGATGGAGCGAGGCTTATGGGTGCAGAGAAGAAACCACTTTGAGTGGGATGGTGCGGGAAGGTCTGAGGGCGGGCTTTGAGCTCAGATTTGAAGGGAGACAAGGATCACCCCCCCCAACCTCAGGTGAGGGAGAACATTTTTGGGGCTGCAAGTGCAAAGGCCCTGGGGCAAACCAAATTCAGTGTGCTCTAAGAACAGAAAGATCAGGACAGCTAGAGCCACACCCAGGAGGGGAGAGTTGGGGATGCAGGGAACACCAGGTGTAGGCCACATGTGAACCCCCAAGAAATGCTGGCGGTGTGGTAGGGGGCTGTAGGTCATGGGGACCACCCCACTCAAGCACTGTGTCACTTCCCAGGCCAGAATCTCATCAGCTGATCCAGAATCTTGCACTAACCGGTTGGCCCTCAGTCAAGATGTCTAAGCTACTGTCCAGTGTGTTCAAGACCATAGTCCACGACAGTGAGTACCAGCGGGGCGGGCGCTTTCAGAAGTCAAAGGCAGCCTCAGTGCCAGGGTCAGTCCTCTAAATCCTGCCCCAAGGCAGCAATGGCAGACGGTCCAGATCCCTTAACAGGAAGACAGGCACAAGTTTCTTGGACAGCCACACACCGGACGGCTTCAACAATCCATATCTATGGCAGCACAGTTCCGGAGGTTGGAAGTGAGACATCAGGTGTGGCAGGGCTGGATCCTCAGAGGCAGTGAGGAGAGTCTGCTCCAGCCTCCTCCAGGCCTCCGTGGTTGCTGGGCGTCTGCGTTCCCTGGCCAGTGAGACACCATCCCCACCTCTGCTGCCATGGTCACATGCTGTCCTGCTTCTGTGGGTGTCGGTATTCAAACTCCCCTTTTACAAGGGCAGCTCCCACCTCAGGTTAGGGTCCACCCCATGCCAGCATGGCTTCAGCCTAACCAGTTCCCTCTGCAGTGACCTCAGTTCCAAATGAGGCCACATTCTGCAGTCCTGGGAGTTGGAACTTTAAAATATGAATTTGGGTGACAATTCAGTTTATAGCAGGCCTTGAGGAAGGGGCCACCTTGGAAGTGAGCCTCGCCCAGCTCTCCAACAGCCATGGGTACCAGGCTGAGCCGCAGAAGTGGCCAGCTGCCATTAGGCCTTTGTGTGAAATGTCCCTTCTTTAGTGCAGTGACACACACACTGCCAGGTGCTCACAAGTGTGCCATCGAGGAGGCCAACTGGGCAGACCCATGTCAGCCACTCCCTTCAGCTTCCAAATTGGAACTTCATTTGCTTCTGACTAGTGAAAGTATTCCATGGTTCAAAATTCAATAGTGCCTTTGAGCCCCCTCCTCCGAAATCTTATCCCCATCCGGACCCCAGGTACCCTGCAGACGCCTGGTGTCACCTGCCTCTCCCAAGCATGCACACAGATGGTTTGTCCTTTTCTCACACAAGCGGTACACAATAAAAATTCTTTCCGCGCCTCCCTCTTCTCCAGAGCCGGTGCGGGTGGGGACTGTTCCCTAGCAATGCAGAGCTCCTGGAGACCTCCAGTGCTTTTGAGCAGAATGGAATCCCACAATGAGTTAACCAGGCCTCTGCAAATTTCAAAAAATGCACCACTGTAAACAATTGTTCCCACTATTATACCTGTGCTCTCTCTCCCCCTCTGTCTTCATTAAAAAATGAAGAAAGGCTGAAATAGGATTCCAAAAACTAGCTTTGAAATGTTTACAGATAGTGTTCATCTCTCAACGCACACACAAAACGATTCATTGTCTTGTGTTATCATGACAGTGCAAGGATTTTAAAACTATGGCACACACCTATAATCTCAGTTATTCAGGAGGTAGAGATCAGGAGGATCAAGGTTTTCTTTTTCAATACTGGGGTTTGAACTCAGGGCCAACACCTTGAGCCACTCCACCAGCCCCTTTTTTGTGAAGGGTTTTTTTTTTTTTTTTTCGAGACAGGCTCTCGTGAACTATTTGCCCAGGCTGGCTTCGAACTGCGATCCTCCTGATCTCTGCCTCCTGAGCAGCTAGGATTACAGGCGTGAGCCACTGGCACCCAGCTCAGGATCAAGGTTTGAGGGAGCAAAGACAAAATGTTTATAAGATCCCATCTCAACCAATAAAAGCTGGGTGTGGTGGCACATACCTGTCATCCCAGCTAGCAAGAGGCATATCTAGGAGGAGCGTGGTCCAGACCAGCCTGGGCACAAACAAGAGACTCTATATGAAACGCAGCTAAAGGGAAAGGGACGTGGGGCTCAAATGGTCAAGTGCTTGCCTAGTAAGTGAGCCTCTAAGTTCCCAAAAACCACCTCCCACAAAGCAACCCCCCAAAATCCCATATTGATGCATTCTGGGTATGGGGATGTCTACTTGGAGTACCCTGTAGCTCCGAGGATTGGTTGAGTCTGTGTATTTGTGGGAAGACCAGGCCAGGCATACAGACATACCTGGGGCTTGGCTGACCCTGGCCAGGCAGAAGGGTCAGGGATGCCCAGAGTGGACCACTGGCTGGGGGTGATGGGGCAGCAAGACCAGCTGAGAAGTTCTGGCCCCCACACCTCTGCAGCCAGTCTCACTGCAGAGGAAATGGGGCCTGAAGATGGTCAGGCTGGAACCCAGCCTGGCCCTGTGGAGGGAGGGTTGCTCACTGAGGACCCAGAGTGTAGGTGCAGGCCTCTGCGGGGGACATCCTGCAGAGGGGCCCCACTGGCCAGGACTCCAAGAGCCCCATGCCTGCTGCCTCTCTGCCCCACATTCCCCATGCTGGCAGCATCAAAGAAGGTCCAGCGTGTCTCGTTAAACCTCCGCTCGCCAGGTCTTGCCCTGGGCAGAGAAGGGCTGGATGCACAAGTTTAACCTGACTTCTGAGAAGCCTGGTTTTCGCTGAGCTGAAGCTGGCCATCCAAAGCCTAGCCTTGGGGGCTGTCCACGCATGCTGCCCGCACAGGACCATCCCGTGCCACATGACTTCACTGATAATTAAGTGCCTGCTGTGTGGCAGGCACTGTGCTAGGCTGGAGATACAGGTGCAAATGACACCAAGGTGGGGAGAATTTGGAGCCCTCTGTCAGCTCCGTTACTTCCTCTTGGCCACACTGTGCTCCTCAAACAGGACAGGCACTCTGTCTTACCCTCCACACACACCCCCCACCCGTTCCTTGTTGTGTTCAACCTTTTCCCACCCTCTGACCTACCTTGCTCTTCCCTGTTCATCTGTGCACTTCTGTCTCCCCAGGAGAATGTAGGTTCCCCAAGCCTGGCAATAATAGGCCCTCAATAAAAGTTAAGATAGCCTCAGAGCTTTCCCTGTGAGCTCAGAGGCAAGACAAGGACACCCGCTGGTAACCACTGCTGCTCCACACAGCACTAAAAGAAAAAGAAATAAAAGACATCCAAGTTGACAAACGACATAAAACTATCCACAGACAGGACAATCTTTTACAGAGACACTCCCACATGACCTTACCTCCTCCCATGGGGCCCCACCTCCTAAAGACTCCACCACCTCCCAGTAGCACCACAGGCTGGGGACCAAGCCTCAGACATGGGCCTTTGGGGGACACGCCAGATCCACACTACAGTACAGAGCCCATTGTCTTCTATGACAGAATTGTGGTGACATTGGTGGGCTGCAGAAGTGTGTGAAAACCAGGAGGTCAGGGATGTAGCAGACCCCTGAGATGACAGCTAGTCCAGAGTGAGAACACTTGGTCAGCTTGTGAATGAAGTCACCTGCCAGGCTGCTGGTCAGGTTCAAGATGTGCTGAGGGAGGGAAGGACGGGGATAAAGCAGGGGATGGGGTTTAGATGAGGGTGATAGCCGGTGGGGTGGAGAGAGTGGGAGGCTCACAGGACATTGAGGCTGGGGGTGTGGTAGTAAGGGGGGCCATTGGGGATGGCGAGGTCCCTCAGCTCCATCCCTGTGGTCACAGTACAGTTTGCAGGAGGTGCAGGCCTGGGGAAGAGGCCACCAGTTCAGTTGGGAGGTGCCAGGCCTCAGTGCTGTGGAAACCTCCAGACAGAGACTCAGAGGTTGCTGTTGCTGGGGCGGAGGTGAGGACTGCAGCTGGAAATGCAGCCTTGGTGGTGGGTAGGGGTCTTAGGAGAAGGGAGAGGTGACAGCCTGAGAGGGCGTGGGGAGCCTGCAGAGGGGGCAGAGATGAAGCTCTGAGGAGGCGAGCAGGGGGCACAGGGAGGCCCAGTTGGAGGGTCCCTGGGAAGCTCCCTAGGTGCAGCTGATGTGCTGAGGTGGAGGGCGGCAGGTGGCAGTGTGACCAGCTGTGGAGGAGGCTGAAGTTGGGGGTGGTGTGTCGGGAGGGATACTGGATCAAACCACCCAGGGCTGGGAAAGGGACCCATGAGCTCTGCGGTGTAGATGGGCACCAGGCACTGAGTAGAAGGAAGCACGAGGCAGAAGGGGGCAGAGGGAGACCAGTGGGCTTGGAGGACCTGGGCAGGTGTCCTCCTGGAGAGAAAGGGTGCTGCTGAGAGGAGCTGGGGGCCCCAAGACTGAGGTGACATCTCTGGAGCAACCTGGTGCAGAGCCATAAGCCCTTTGCAGGAAGTGAAGGAAGTTAGTGAGGACCAGTAAGGGGTGGGGCGGCCAGAGCCAGGGAGAGGATGTGACCTAGAGGACAGACTTGGCTGCAGGGCTGTGGCATTGCCGTCCTGTAACTAAAGGACCTCCCGGCGTGAAAGAGGACGGCTGGGAATGCAGCCTGCTGTGGACTGTGACCCGGAAACACAGACTCAAGTTATCTTCAGTGTCATGTTCTGTTGTGAAAGAAGAGATAGAAATTTCCGTAGTTAAAGAAGGAAATCGTATGTCACTAGATGGATGAGTGTGCAGCTGGATGGGTGTCAGCATGTGGGGACCGTGGCTGTGGGTGCCAGCTGTTGTTATCTCATGGCTTCCTCAGCTGCAGGCTTGGTGGAGGCAGGAGACCTGTTAATAATTAAGGGAACACTTAACACAAAGGTTAAAGGTGAATGGCTGGTGCTCTGAGGGCCCGGGATGGCAGGGGAACTGGACATAACTTTGACTTTGACCTGCAACAGTCCTCCACAGTCACCAGGTTCACCTCAGCCAAGGACAAGCTGTGGCTTCTTCAAAGACTTTGAGGTCCCCAGCCCCCACCAGGCTCCTTCCTATCTATGAATTGACTGCTTTGGAAGTCAAGTTGATAGTTCAGGGTGGATTCAGACTGCCTTTGTCCTCCGAGCCACTCAGCATTAGTCTTCCAGGTTGGTCTGTGTGAAAAGGCATGGGGCGTACAGTGCATGACACGTGGAATACCTGCCCTGACTACAGCCACCAAGGTTGGTGTTGGGGAGGGCTGCAGGGACCCTCTCTGTCTTACTACCTCGGTGGCCGACTTCCGTCCTCAACTCTCTGACCCAGGATTTGGACATTTTTGCTGTGTGCTTCTCTTTTTCAACTAAGAACAAGGTTTTAAAAGAGATTATTTGACTTCATTTTATTTGTTTGGGTATTTGATATCTTCTTCTTTTTATGATTTTTATGATATTTAATGGTAATTAAATTTTGCCACCAATTGAACCAAATACCCAGGAAGAAAGGTCATTAGGAAGCGGGAAGATGCCTCTGCCATGCTGCAAAACTCTTCCCGGTCCTCTGCTGCCTCCCAGCCAGGCCCTCCTGCCTGCCCCCCAGGCCTCCCGAGTCTCCCCAGCTCTTCAGTTCCCCTTCCCCTCAGACCTGGACCTTGACATCGTGCCCCACCCTCTGAGTCACCATCCCAGGGCACTTGGGGACCACCTGTCCTCCCCAACCTGCCCTGAAACAGCACAGCCTAGCTCTCTCCACCTCGCCCTGCGGGAGCCTGGGGTCTCCAAGGTTCAGTGAGTTGTGGATTGGGGATATTGGAAAGATGGGGCCTCAGGCTGCTTTTCCCAAGGGTATCAGCTGATGGGAACAAGGTGACCTTGGGGCCTGTGGTCACTTGGGGGATCTCACCCCAGCCAGCATGGGAGATGTGCTGGCATCCTGGCCGGGCCCCTGGGATTTGCCAGGCTGGTCACTGGGCCGAGATTCAGAGGCACTGTCTGGGTGGAATGGGGTGGGATCTCCATGAGGGGCAGGTCTTAGCCCCCCATTCAGGGTTCTAGGGAAGCCCTGGGAGGCAGTGGGGTTGCCCAGGTCTCCATGTGTGCATCTCAAAATGGTCCTGCATTGCTCTTAAGGAACCAAGGGAAGGGAGAGAAAGGGAAGGCACAGAACAGCCACTCTGTACCCAGCTAAACTACCAACCAGGTGACCCTGTAGACATGCAAGTCCTCAAAGGTTTACCTCTTGTGACCTTCTCAGAAAGCTACTAGAAGAATGTGGCACCAAAACAAAAGACACTTCCTGCATGGACCCAATAATGGGAAGCCAAGAAACCAATCAGCCAAGAAGAAGAAAGCAGGAGGGAGGCATCCCCGGGAGGGATGTCAGCACAGTGACACACCTACGGCACTGATGGAGGTCCTGTTTGTCCACCAGGAAATTAGTGATTAGGGATTAGTGATCAGGACATATGGAATGTAACGTGACAATAAGACCACTCAAATAAAACAGGGTCTGGACACAGGCCAGGGGAAATAAACACTAACTGGATGGTAGGGATGACCACGCAGGTAACAGGGGACAAGACAGATAAACTTTTAAAATACCATGTGATAGTTTGGCAATTGAGCATCCAAATGGAGAAAATGTGAAATTAAATTTCCACCTGACACTATGTACACAAATGCATCCCAGGTGGATTAAAGACCAAAATATGAAAGATACAACTGTAAAATTTTGGGTACATGAAGGCACTAGTCACACCTATATCTTGACAGATGACCTCGGATGGCCATGTGCTTGCTCAGTTCTCACAACTGCCAAGCAAAGTCAGAGTGGCCATCTCAGATGTGCAAACTGAGGCTCAGAGAGGCCAAGTGACTTCCTGTGCTTGCCACAGGTGAAAAGCTGGAGCCCTGGTGGGACTGGCACAGTGTGCATAGCTCTCAGGGGCAGGTGAGTCACCACTATGGTTCTCACTTTGTGTCTCCCCAGAGAACAGCATGGAGACCATGAATAGCAGCTCTTCAGGCATTGAAGAAAAACAGGACAAACGGGCAAAAAAGGGCAAAGGTAACGCTGGAGGTGGCTGGAGTCCAAGCTGGTGGGAGGCAAGCCCCCTCCTCTGCCCAGATGCCCCCAGACTCAGCCTCTATGCTAAGGGAAGAGGGGAATGCTTGTTTCTGTTGGGAATGGGGTTTCAGAACACAGCAGGAACACGAAGTGGTGGGAAGCGAGGCCGTCCAGCTCTCCCCACTTCCATAAAATCAGTCAGGTTGCCAGGTCCTCAGACTTTCTGCTCCACCAGAAAGGGTTAGGGCTTTCAACTACAAGGTTACCTCGTGGTCAGAAAATGACTGCTGCAACTCCAGGCTGATCACATCTGATTCCAGGCAGGGAGAAAGGAAGAAAGGAAAGAGCAAAACTGCCCTCTTGCTAACTTGACCCTCTCAGGGAAAGAAGCCTCACCCAGGAATTTCTGCTCACATTCCACTGGCCAAAATTCCACGTGGCCAACAGAGTGTACACAGAGGCACACAGCTGTGCTGGCCAGGAGGAAGACAGCAGCTGGTGACTGTGCCTTGTCCTCCGGCGCCTGCACGGGATCTCACTTCCCTCTGAGCCTCAGCTTCCCAGATCCCCTGCTGCCTCCTGCTCGGCCCTGGGATACCAGGTCAGGCCGGTCCTTCTGTAGAGGTCCAGTGGGACCGTGTTCCGTTTCCCGAGTCTGTTCCCCTGCCCCCACCCCCGCCACCACCGTGCACCCTGTCCTGCTTCTTCTAATTATGAAAATTAATTTAAACACACCCAGGAGCAGAGGAACCGCCAGAGGTTGTCACCAGATGTAGGAGGCTGTGCAATTTTTCTGTTTGTCTTTGCTAGGGCATTTTAAAGTAAAATTCCTTTCTACTTTAAAGCCATTTCATCCTCCCTACGTCAATGTGCACTTGTCACTCATTGGGATATTTTCTTAGAAGTGTGCAATGCCACCACTGCCCTGGGAAAAGTCTCAGAAATGTCTTCCTGTGGGTTCACTCTAGCCAGGGAGCAGCTGGGACCTGGTCTCGTCTCTCTTCCTCTGGGCCCCTCTGCCTTTGACTGGGGCAGCAGTGTCGATTCTCCTGTGCAATGTCCCATTCTGTATGTCCCTGCTTCCCGTGCTGACTTTGCAGTTGTTTCTCTGTCCCATCGTTTTCTTCTCTCATTTTCTTTTGCACTACTGGGATTTGAACTCAGGGCCTCCTGCACCCCTTGAGCCAGGCACCCAGACCTTGTGTTTTTAGTTTTTTTTCAGGCAGAGTCTTGTGCTAACTTTGCCAGGGCTGGCCTGGACTGTGATCCGCCTACCTTGGGCCTCCCGAGTAGCTGGGATGGCAGGCATGTGCCACCAGTCTCCATCTTTTCTTTCAGTGGATGTTAGTGCTCGATGCTTCACTAGACCCCGGCAGCCTGTCCTGGGGATGGAGGTGGCTCGAAGTGTCTAGCCATTGCTGTGCGGCATTTTATTCAAAATAAGTTTTAGCTCGAGGTGTGGTTCAAGGGGTAGAGCACATGCCTACCCAAGCACAAGGTTCTGAGTTCAAACCCAAGTACTGCAAAATAAAAATAAATAAATAAAAATGAAAATAAGCTGTGGCTGCATACCTGTGCCCTGCTGCTTGGGAGGCTGACGCAGGAGGATGGCTTGAGTCCAGGAGTTCAAGGCCAGCCTGGATAATGTATGGAGGCCCTGTCTTAAAACAATCAGTTCTGAGCTTTCCTTTTTCTGTGCCTGTGGATGTGCTCTGTCATTCCCACCAGCCTTCTGTGGATGGCGGGTTTTCTGGGACTGGCTTGCAAATGTGTGCTCCTTTGCATTTCTGCAATGACTTGATTGACACGTGGCCATTTTTGCTGGGGCTCACTCACGCAAGCACATTTACACTCTTCACGGTGATGTTCCTGTGCCACCCGGCACCCATGGCCTCATGGTAAAGTGGGGTGGGATCAAGGTTGTTCCCACCTGAGGGCGTCTCTGAGACCAGCTCTTGCGGAGCCCATGTGGCAGTCACTTTGCTTTTGAGATGAAGACTCCCAGCGCTCTGGCCCCCAACCCTGCTGCCTGTATTCCTCGCCCTGGGTCTCTGCCCGGGAGCGAGTGGAGCAGGGACAGGAGGAGGGTGCCTGGTGCCTCCAGATGTCCAGGCCTCCACATCTCTGCTGGCCTCTGCCCCCAGAGCTCTGCCACCCTCTTTGCCTCCTCCTCTCTCTAGGGCTCCATAACAGCCTCCACCACCCCAGGGTGCCTTCTTTCCTGGAGCTGGTTCCACACTTATTTCTAACTCTTCTGCACAGGGTGACAGGGCACAGGGGAGGCAGCCCCTCTGCCCTCCCTGCCTCCTGAAACTCACACAGAGGACATCTGCTCTGAATCAAAGCCAGTGTGGACATGACAGTCATAGAGGCTGGCAGGAGACAGGGTCACTCTGCAAAGCAAATCTGCACCAGTCTCTCTCTCCTCCTCTGGTCCCCCCATGCCCCTGTCTGCCTCCTGGGCCTCAGGCACTTGACCTTGGCCAACCCTCTCCCCTGGGAGGCCAGTGGAGACTCCTGGAGACAAGTGCATTTACCTGGGGCCCATGGCCCTCAGCTCAGTGCCAGCACCCCTGCTACCCCTCTCTATCGCTTGTGGGTGGTAGGCGCTGGCTTACCTCCTCTGCGAGAGGGGCTTCCTGAGACTTTAAGTCTAGGACAGAGGGCAGATGCTGGAGACGCAGGGCTTTGTTCTCGAGTCTCTTTTTGGATGCTGGGGCATCAGCCTGGCTCACCCAGGTTAAACCACAGAGGTTATGCTTATGGAGCAGGAGGACCCATGAGCGGACTTCAGGCACAGCTGGATCTGAGTGAGCACTTGCCACTTGCTCCTGCTGTGTGTCACAGGGGGCCAGGAGGACACTGGGTCCCCAGAGGCATTGAACGCTGGAAGGGCTGGCTTCAATCTCCAACCAGGATCTCTCCTCCCCACCCCCAACCCAGAGCACGATGATTCAGCCAATCCTTTCCACCTGTCTGGGGACGTGGATTTCTTCACCTTCAGAGATCGGGAGCGGAATAAGGCCATCTTGGTGAGTATCCAGAACCCGGGCAACCTCTCTATGAGGCTTCCCTGCCTCAGTTCCCCTCCTCTCAGATAAACAGTAGCCACACTTTCTTCTTGGATAAGCACTTTCCTCAGGCTGCTCTCACTACAGAACCATCAGTGGCTCCCCCCTTCCTACCAAATCAGCTGGAAACACTCACTGCCTGGGTCTCCGATCTCTGACCTGTTTCTCACACCCACCCCCATCACTATTGTTCCCAGGCCTCTGTTGGGTCAGCTGCTTGGGCTGCAGCCACCACTCCATCAGTTCTTCTGTCTTCTTGTCCTTCAAGGCCCTCTCCCCCGCTCAGGAGTCCCAGCCTCATGTGGCCCTTTGTCCTTGGACTCCCAGAAGCCAGATATGCACACAGACGTACATGTGCTCACTTGGACAACCACACCAACCCCCTCGGCAGGGCCCGGGAGTGCAGAGTGTCTCTGACGGTCCACCCCAGCCTTGTCATCTCCCTGATGTGTTCCCCCTTGCTTTCCCCCATGACAGCCTATCCAGAGGTCAGGGCAGCCTGTGGTCCACAGTCCCCAGTGCAGCCAGAGGGGGCTCAGACAGGGCTGCCCTGCACACCCACAAAGGCACAGCCGCATCCCTGCCTCTCCCCTGGGCTGGCTGGACAGCCTGTCTCACCCACAGATTCCTTAGAGCAGTGGTTCTCAGGCTGGCAGGATCTCAGGCCGGCATGGACATGGGTGCGAAAGGCACATCCTCCATCCCACCCGGCGTCCTAATCAGAAACTGGATCCACCTGTGACCACGTGCACAGCCCTTTGGAGACGCTGATGACCATGGCATCTACACGGCTGCTGGGTGGTGCCCTTGCCCAGCCCTGGAGAAAGGACTGTAGATCCACAGGCAGCCTCTATCTGCCCTTCACCTTGGCCTCTACTCTTCTCCAGTGTGGGACTGTGCTTTCCTTCTCCTGTCAAGCCTGGCCATACCTTGGAGCCTCCTCTTCCTCTATTGACTGAATTCTCTGCTCTCACCCCAGCCCAGGCACTGACCCCACAGGGCCCCAAGCAGCTGTCCTATATCTTCTGTTGCTGCTGGGATTCTAGAGGTGACATTTTCCTGACTCACGGACATGCCAACTAGTGGCATGGGGCTGGATCCTGCATCTGTTGAATTCCTGCAGCATTCTTAGTTGTTGAACTATTTGTGTAGCTGGCCAGATGGCCTGTCCCAGCAGGAAGTAAACTGGTCTGAGTCTGTCCAAATGAAACGACCTCAGTGAAGGGCTGGAGCCAGTGCCGAGTGAGGGACTGGCGGATGCAGCTGTAGGAGGATCGAGCTTAGGCCAGGGGTCTACTCTGGTCAGGGAGTCCCTCTCCCTCTCCCCTGCAATCCTGGGATCTCCCCCCATCCCCGGGAAGGACTGGGCTGTGATGACACCCATGGGGGGTCAGAATAGGAGTGCAGAGGAGAGGGCAGTCAGTGGGGACAGCTAGCCACAGTGACCCTCCAGCCAGCCAACACTGATGGTAGTCTGCAGGGTGGACTCCAGCTTTCAAGGTTCTTTTGGAAACTCAGAAGGACCAAGTTCCCTGAATGCGTCTTTGTCAGTTTTAGCAAAGCAGAAAGCATGGCCATCAGTGAAGTGTAAACTTAAAGGAGAGGTTATCTTTTGGTCAGGGGTCCTGGGTTGTGTTGATCTGGACCTCATGTGTAGCTGGCCCCCTACATTTTATCTGGAGACCCCCATCCTGGGGTGACAGTAGGTTTCCCAGGAGCCTCCCTGCCCACTCTGCTCTGACCCCGGAGCAGTTGTGTTTAGGACTCCATCATGGCCTGGGGGAGCACACTGGAGAGACATTGGGTGGGGAAGGAGCCTGGGCCGCATCTGACCGTCCTGTTGTCCCCAGGAGCGCGAGCAGAAGAAGAGTCTGCGGGTGCACCAGAAGATGACCTATTCCTCCAAGGTGTGCGCCAGGCACAGCAGCCTCCGCCGGGAGCTGGAGCTGGAAGAGGAGACAGAGGACCAGGAGCTGCAGGCTGAGGCTGAGCAGCTGAGCACCATCCGTGACAACACTGCCTGGAAGCTAGCCATGACCAAAGGTGCCGCCCCCACTCTCACGGGCTGGGGACCTGGGGCAGCCACACCTGGTACTTGCCGGCCTGGGAAGCCTGCACGCTCCACGGAGCCTTCAGCCACTCGCCTCCTCTGCATAGTTCCCCCTTTGCACCTGGAAAAGCTCGGTCCAGATGGGCTGAGATGGAAGAGCTCTTGACCTGATAGTGTGTACATTCTGAATGTGGACTGCAGGCAGAAGGTGCAGCCATACAGTACATAACACAGTCAGTTTAGGGCTGGGGGTGGAGTGGGGCAGTGGTCCATTGTCACAGCTCTTGCCTAGTATGCAGAGGCCCTGGGTTCCATCTTTAGGACAGCAAAAATAAGTAAGTAAACAGAGACCCAACTCTGTGGCTCATGCCTGTAATCTCAGATACTGAGGAGGTAGAAAGATTGCTGTCCTAGCCTGGGCCCAGGCAAAAAATGCCAGACCCTATCTGAAAAAAAAAAAAAAAAAAAGCTGGGGTGTGGGTCAAATGGTAGAGTTCAAAACCCCAATAATAATCATCATAGCAAACAAGTATTTTAATTCTGGGTAAGGAGGATGGGTCTGGAGCTGGATTTCCTGGTCCCGATCACCACTCAGCATCTCACAGAGACACGGTCATGGCCAGTTATGCCACCCCTTTGTGTCTGTGCGCACGCGTGTGTGCTGTTATTACCCAGTAGGAGAATCTTGAGTACTGAATATGTATTAAAACTCTACCCACCAATCACTAAAAAGCTAGAAAGAAGCAGTTGGGATCAGAGCCCTGGCACACAGTGGGCTACAGGGCACTGAGTGAATATAACACATGGCAGGGTCCCCAGCTGCCACCTTGCTCAGCCTCTTCCCTCCGTTCCCCAGAGTGGGACAGGTAGGTGCAGGCTGGGCGTCTGTGTTGTAGGATTCCTTCCTCAGGGACCTGAGTAGCTCAGGACTCTACTGTGATACAGTCCTCCCTCGGTATCCCAGCTCCCCTCCCAATACCAAAATCCATGATACTTAATTCCCTTACACAGGATGGTGTGTGACCCTCCTGTGTACTTTACACCATCTGTAGACTGCCTCTGGTACCTGCGGCTTTAGAAAAGCTGTTAGACTGTATCATCAGATGCATTTTTTCTGAATATTTCTGATTCATGTTTGGTAGAACTCAAGAATGGAGAATCCAGGGATCTGGAGGGCTGGCTGTATACTGGGGGAGTCTTCTCCCTTTTTTGCTGGTGACAGGTGACCAAAGCACTCCCTGCCCCACCCATGTCCCTGTGACACCCTGGGCAGGTAGCAGGGACCTGCCTGGAGCCCTGCAGGGCTTCTCTGCAGACATGGTGAGTGCCTGTCCTCAGTGAGGGTTGGGCCTCTCGCTCCCACTCGCCTCCCTGCTCTCAATTGCAGAGAAGAAAGTAGAGCCAGAGAGGTTGAGCGACTATGTGAGTCAGAAGCGGGAGATGTTCCTCATTCAGGTAGGCCAGTCACACTTGGGGAGGGCCTCCTGCTGGGAGCTGGTCTGGGCAGGGTGCTACGACCAGCTCTGCTGGCCACCTCAGTATGCCCTGGAGATGAAGCGGAACGAGATCCAGCGGCTGGAGATGCTGGCGACACAGGAGGAGACCAGGCTGGAGAGGGCAGAGAGGTCCCTGGCAAAGGACGCCACCTTGTTTGACGAGTTCCTCAGAGAGAATGATCGCAGCTCAGTGCAGGCCATGAAAATGTGAGCCTGTGGCCCCAGCCTGCCCAGTGACACCAGCCCTTCTGTGTCCTTGGGCCTGTGTCCACCCCCTGGCACCTGTCCAACCCAGCCTCAGTTGAACTCCGCGCCCTGAGGCCTGGTTAGGCCCCATTCCTGCCTTGTACCCTCTCGCCCTCCTCCAGCTCTGTCCTGAGCCTGGCCACCCTTTGCAGGTGCTCCAGCTGGTGTCTCATGACTGGGTGGCTTTAATTGCCTATATTTGACCTCCTGATCCCCACCCCTCCCTCAGGGCTGAGAAGGAGACCAAAGCCAAGATGGAGAAGATCACTGAAATCCGGGACCTCACCACTCAGATCATGAATCTCAAGAGGTGAGGACAGAGAGCATGCTGGCCTATGACCGGTCTGTCCCGTTTTCCTCTGTCCCCTCACCCACAGCCACAGGGATCCTAGCACCAGTGACCTCACAGGGACCCAAGGTCCTGAGGGAGGCTGTTGCCCATTTTACAGAGGAGGCCTGAGGCTAAGAGAGAGTCAAAGTCCACACCACCAGGGCCAGCACAGTTTAGAGGCTTCTAGGCTCCAGCCTGGGAGAGCTGCAGCCAACCCTTAAGGCAGACAGATTCCTGCAGGTCACAGGGGACCAACCCTGGTCCCTGCAGGGCAGAAGTCTTTCCATTATCAGGGCTTCTGTGCCTGCTCTCCAGAGTAAGGACCCCACCCAGACTTGACCCAGCAGTGGGCATAGCCTGATCTACCCTCCCTCCCTCCCCTCCACACCCTGATCTACCTAGCGAAATCTCCAAATTTGAAGACAGCCTGCAGCAATGCAAACTCTATAAGGATTTCCTGTATAAGCTCTCACCCAAGGAGTGGTTGGAAGAGCAGAAGAAGCACTTGGCTCTCAAAAAGACCAGAGAGGTCGCAGCGATCCTCATGGGCAGCAAGTCCTCCTCAGTAGTGGACAAAGGTAGTGGAAAAGACAATGGGGTCCCTGGGGATTGGCTCTGCTAGTGGTGCACAGCTGCCAGAGGCCCTACAGGCATGAGGTCCTGGCAGCCCTTTCTACCAATAGGGCAGTGCTACCCCTTAACCACTCAGGTGGCTCAGCCCAAGTCTTCACAGGGGAACACTGGGCTCTGAATTCAAACCAAGCTTTACCTCCTGAGGCTTCTCTTCCTCTTTTGAGGCACAGCCAGGTGAGGCTGTGAGCACAAGCTGCCTTGCTGAAGCTTGGGCCCAGCTGAGGCCACCCAGGGTCCCTTGTTTGCTTCCTTTAGGACCTTGGAGTAAGATCAAGATGACTTCCCCGAGGAACAGAGGTATGTGGCTGGCCCACGTGGAGGGACCCTGCATCCCAGCTCAGGTTGCATGGAAACCTGGGCCTGCTTCCTCCAGAGTCTCCAGTCGTGAAGAAGCCCACAAAGACTCTGCAGCTGGACATGGTCCCGTCCAGCAGCACCATCTATCAACAGGACAGCCAGCCCAGCATGCCTAGTGATGCGAAGGGTGAGTGGCTTTCTGGGGGCTTGGAAGGGCCTGGTGGTCAGCAAAGGCCAACAGATGGGGAGACCACAGCCACTGAAAACCAGCTTCTCAGATTCCCAAGGGAGGAGACACTGAGGGAGTGCAGGGTGGGCTAGGAGGTGGAGGGGGCCGTGATTCCCTGGATGGACAGTGGAGGTGGAGTGGGAGGTTGAGGATGGGGCAGGATGAACAACTTTGGGGCCTCAGGGCATGGGGCTGTCCCTGGGTGTCTGGTTCTGTCCTGGGGTGATAAAGCTGGGTATAGTGTGAGTGCCCATTAATAAAATAGGGCACTGAGGTGGAACTAGGGAGGGCGGTTTGCCTTGGAAAGTACGCTCCAGGGCAAGTCCTTTACCCTGGCCCCCCATGGTCAGCATGGCTCTGGTGTCAGAGCACCAGAGTATAGAAAATAAAAAGATTAGGGTGACTGTGGGCATCTTTGTGATTTCAGTGACATCTTCCTGATGATCACCAGTATGAGTAATTTCCTCTTTATTGGCACTTGATGTTCCCATTTGTGGAGGTCTGGCTTTTGCTTTCCATCCTGTTAAACCTTTCTGTGTCCCGGGGGCAGCCCTCTGCACCAGCGCAGCACAAATAGCTCTCCCAGACGCAGTCTTATCCAACCACTTTTAACATTGTCTTTTGAGGAACAGGAACTCTTTAAATTAGTAAGCCCCACCTACCATTCTCTTCACTTGTGGTTGGTATGTTTTGTACCCTGTTTAAGAAATCTTTGCCAACTCCAAAGTCAGTGAAATATTCTGTTTTCTTCTGGAAGTTTCATGGTGTACTGCCTTGGATGAGGGTAGTGGTGGTGGGCATGGGGAGAAGTGGGCATTGGGGTCCAGGCCTCCCCTCTTCACCACACCAGGTTGAAGCTCTGTTCATCACTCCTATGTCCCACCTTTGTCGTCCCTGCTCTAGGAGCACCTGGACCCCTTCTATGATTCTGTCCCCAACCTGTTCCTGTGCACCACACCATGTGCACATCAGTCACCCTCAGCCTTCCAGGTCCCACACCAATGCTGGGGAGGCTCTACCTGTTCCTAAGCTCCCTTTCTCCTTACGCATTGTGGTCAGGCCTATGGAGAGCAGCCACCATTATTGACATGGATTCCACATGTTAACTGTGGCCTCTGTGACCCAAGTTGGGGGCTGGAGGTGATTATTCCCAGGTCAGTGTGGACAGCAGGTCCTGAGACATTAGCTATGCATTGCGACCCCTGAGCCCTGGAGGTCAGTGTTGGGACAGTCATTGAGAACACAGGTCTGGGATCACACTATCCTTGCTTTGAATCTTGGTCCTGCTACCTATTAGCCAGTTGACCAGAGCCTTTGAGTACAGTTGGGCAAGCATACCCAGGCTACATCCTTCTGGAGGGGGACTCTCAGGAAGGCATCTTGTCAGACAGCCGTGCCCTATAGGAGCCTTGAGCAGGTGGCTGGCTATGATCAACACCAACAAATCCCTCACCACAACACTGGCACCAGTGTGTGTGTGTAGTGATGAGGCTCAGGCCTGGCAAGGGCTTTAGCTACAGTCAGACTTCTTCTCCGACAGCCTTTGCTGTCCCACCAGGGCTCTCACAGGGCCTTGCCCTTCCACTCCAGGTGGATCAGGGCCTGATGCACCAAGCCCCGTCTGGCAGTGAGCTGCCCTGCCTGCCCCTCAGCCAGCACAAGCTGCTCACCCTGGACTGAGGCCTGAGCTGGAGCAGGCTGGAGCCCAATGAAAGGCTGCCACACTGAGTACTCCAGGACCACACAACCTTCTTGAACCCTGATGGGCTGGCCCAGGATAGGCCCTTGTCTCTGTGAGGTGCTGCCCAGGGGCAGCTGGAAAAAGCCCTGCATGGCCCCATAGCTGAATGGAGCCATCAGGACAGCTGTGGAGACCCAATTGAGATGGGGCAAGGAGGGAAAGGCCTCAGAGGTAGCACTCAGGAAACAAATGGTAAGGAAAGGGGCAGTCCTGGTAGGGGGAACGCAGGTGCAAAGTCCCTGAGGTAGGATCCACATGTAAGCTGGTAGGGCCAGCTCACTGCCAGGTGCCTAGAAAGCCAGGCTGGGCCTTGGAAAGGTCAGTCCTTGTCCTGAATGGAGGGGCACAGGTAGGTGTGTGTGTGACACAGAGGGAGAAGGGGAAAGAGGGAGAAGGGGAAAGAGGGAGAGGGGAAGAGGGGGAGAAAAAGAGAGAAAGAGAGAGGAAGAGAGAGAGAGAGACAGAGAGAGAGAGGAAGGAATGAGGAATGAGCTGATAGGATAGGAACAGAGTAACTACTTCAGGGTTGTGGTGGAGGAGGTGAGGAGTGAGAACTGCTGATTGAATTTTGAGTGTCCCCTGGCTGCAGTGATAGCTGCAGAGCCCTTAGGGGGCTGGTGCCACATCTGGGCAAAACTGTGGGAGGAGATGCTTCACTGGCGCCCAGGCTGGTTTTGGACACCTTGACCCGGCTGTATTCCTGCAGGTCCACCTGTACCCTGCTATCACGGGATGACACAGATAGCGACTGGGAGGTCTGTAGCTCAATTCTACCCTCCACTCTGCCGCCCTTTAGTGGCCTCCTGTCCCTGCCCCCACTCCAATCCCAGCCCCGTCCTTCCCTGCAGGAGCTGCCACTGTACTTCACTGAGCCCCAGCAGCTCCTGGACATCTTCACAAAGCTGGAGGAGCAGAACCTGTCACTTATTCAGAACACGCAGGAGATGGAGGAGACCTTGGAAGATCTGAACCTTACCCTGAAAAACACACAGAGTCGCATGTAGGTCCCACGCTGCAAGCGTACCCTCCCCTGCTGGCCCCCAGCCTGGGAACCAAACCATGGGACCCCATCACCCTCTGGGTCTGCATCCAGACCCTGGGCCATTGAGTGAGGCTGGGGCAGGAAGGAGGGTCCTGGCATAGCAGTCGGCTGGGGCCCTGGCACAGAAGTTGGCAGGCCAGGCCTCCTGTCCCTTTTCCAAGGGGGCTGCTGGGGAGGGCATCCTCCCGCCCTTGCTGGGGCTGCTGGAGGTGCAGCATGACTATAGGGCAGATGAGGCAGGGCTGTTCCACAGGCTGGGTCAGGCTGAGCTGGGCAGGGTCTGGGGACAGGCCTGGAAGGAGCCAGAAAGGGCCTCTTGGAGGCAGGAGGTATGTGTACTTGTCAAGCATTGCAAGGGGGCCAGGGTTCTGGAAGGATCCTGGAGAAACTCCAACTCCTAGGTCCTGTCAGAGGTGCAGCAGTGAAAGGCAGGTGCTCTTCTACGCTCCTACCTGGAGCTCACCAAGGCTCTTAGGGTCCCTCCTAGTAGGTGTGGCCACAAGCCAATGCATCCCAGTCACCATAAGCCAACCCCTCCCTGGGTCCAGCAGAGTTGAGCAGGGCAAGGTCACCCTGGGCACTAGGTGAGGCTGGTTCAGGGAATCATCCATGAACTTCCTAAACATAGAACATCTTTTCTGGGTCAGGCCTGGGCCTAAGGCCTGCAAGGACGAGGAAGTCTCTGTCCTCACAGAACTGAAATCCAATGGCAGAGGACACAATGCAAAGGCCCACAATTTGACTTGTGGAACTAGATACATGGTGACAGGAGGAAGGGACTGAAGTGGAGGCTGTCAGCTGATGAAAGGAAGCAGAGAAGCCTTCCAGGACAAGCATTATGTGGTTCAGGATGATTCTGAGAGATGGCAAAATAGGCAGCCACACAGACCCGAGGAAAGAGGCTTCAGGGAGCAAGTGCAAAGGCCCTGAGGTAGGAGACAGCTAAGGCTTCTGTGTCCCATGGACCACGGTCACTGGTGCACACAGCTGGGAGTCTCCAGAGTAAAGCGAATCCACCAGCTCTCATGCAGGACTGTGTTTTCTGGGAATGCTGGGAGGTACACAGAGGAGTGGGGGAGAAGAGAAACTGTGGAGAAGACAGGTCTCTCCCCAAGTCATCCCTGGAGCATCATTTGGTGTCACAGCCTGTGTGTATTTAATCTCTGTGAACTCAACCATGCTTTCTCAGGAAACAAAACAAAATCATGTTTTTTTGAAAAATATAAAGCAGACAACTGAACAGACCTCTATCTATTAAAGAAATTGAATAAATACTAACATCCCCCAGAGTCAGGTCCCCGGCCCAGATGGGTTAACTGGTGAATTCTATGAAACATTTAAGGGAGAAATTACAGCACTTCTGCAACCTCTTGCAAAGGACAGAAGCAGAGGGACCACTTCCTGACTCGTCCTGCAGGCCAGCATGACCCTAATGCCCAAACCAGACATATGGATTACAGAACATGTCTCAAGAGCCACCAAAATCCTCAGCAAATAAATACACACCAGGTGGGATTTACCCCAGATGTGCAAGATGGTTCCACATTGAAACATCAGTTACTGTAGACCTGCTTTCAAAAGGCTAAAGGACACAAGTTCTATGATCAGATCAACAAAGAAAAAGCATTTCACAAAATCTAACGCCCCTGCAGGATAGAGAAAACTCAGCAAATTATGAGTGGAAAGGAACTTCTCCAACTTTGTGAACGTCACAAAAAACTACAGCTAAACTACTTAATGGTGGGAGACGAGAAGCTCTTTGCTGAGACGAGTGAAAAGAGAGGGTGCCTTCTGTCCTTTCCATCATCTTGTGGGAAGCCCTGGCTAATGCTTCACAAAGATGGCAAGCCTCACCCCTGCTTCTCCTGAATTTCCCACCCCCTGGCAGGCAGACACTTGGCACTGCTGGTCCTGTAGCCCCCAGACAGGGCTCAGCAGGTCAGGCTCAGAGGGTATGTGTGGGAAACCTTTTGTGAACTGCACTCTGCCACCCCCATCCAGGGACAGGGAGGTCAACCAGCTGAAGCAGTGGATCACAACGATGATGATGTCAATTGCCAAGGAGGAAGAGTCAGCTGCCGAGCTGGAGCTTAAAGCCCGAGTGTTCCATTTCGGGGAGTACAAGGGTGATCAGCAGGTAGGCAGGTAGGAGGTGCCACCACCTCCAGGGTCTGTGCGCCTAATCCAGGAGCGCTTCTGTAGTGGTACCCTCCAAGTACTCAAGCCTGCGCTGGCCAGCTGCCCACTCCATGCATCCTCGTATCTTTGCTCTTCCATGCACCATCTGTCTGCAGTTGAGCATACACACTGGGTCCTGAAGTGTGGGACAGGTATGTCCTCAGGCCAGGCTGGAGGGTGAGAGAATTCTGAGGGGACCAGGTACTAGGCAGCAAGGATGGGCTGGCCAGGGGCCCTGCACACCCCATGCCTGAGACCTGATTCATCCGAATTCATTCATTCAGTTCCTGATTCATCACAACACTGCCAGGGGACTTTGTGCTAGCACTGGGCCAGGGCCACGGCAGGTAGCAGTGAGCAATGGGCAGGTCTGTCACTGCCTTGGCTGGCCTTCACTGTCATGTGCCCAGGCCTTGGATGAGGCTTTTTACCTGTCACTTACATGGAACTCATGTGCCAGGAGCTGTTACCTATTTTCTAAATGTCAGAATAGGCTCAGACAGGGGAGTCCATCTGTCCAGGGCCACATAGGATGTAACCCTTTGGGGAGTTGGGTCAGTGCAGGGCTTCCTAGAGCAAGGGACTGGACCTCCATGGACTTGTCAAGGCATCTGGGGCAGGGGCCAGGACATGAGGTGAGTCTGTGGTCTGACCACAGAGGGACCAAAGGCTTGGCTATTTTGGCGGGTACATAAGTTGTTCCAGCCTGTGACTGCTCCATCCTGGAGGTCTGTCTGCATGCCACAGCCATGTGCGCTGGAGCAGGCAGGCCATGGAGGGAGGAGGCATAGACCTGCAGCCACCCGCTGGAGGCTTGACCCCTGTAGGACAAGCTGCTGGAGAGCCTGAACCACAAGGTGCTGGATGTGTACCGAAACTGTGTGAGCACGCAGCAGGAAGCCAGCCTGGGCACAGTGCAGATGCTGACCATTGTGGAGCACCAGCTGGATGAGCTGCTGGAGAACCTGGAGCGTGTGCCTCAGGTCAAGATCGAGCAGGCTGAAAAGGCCAAGGAGAGGGAGCGGCGCATAAGGTGAGTGGTCACCTGGCCTCTGTCGTGCTGCAGTCCATCCTGGTGCAGGGCACAGGGGACTTTGGCCCCCACGCTTGCAGAGTTCCTGAGCCAGGACACAGATCCAGTGCTCTGTGCTGGGAGTTGGAGGCTAGGGTCTCTACCCGGGGGGAGGGGGAGATCAACCAGCTGAAGGAAGTGACTGGGGCCAAGGGGTTGAAGAAGGGATGGGGTCTAGAAGAGGGGGAGTTAGTGAGGGTGTGGACATCAGGGCAGAGCTAGGACCTGGGGAAATGGGTGCAGCCCTTTGCTGGAGGTAAGGGTAGCTGAGTGCAGGGCTGGGTGGTGGCAGTGTGTGGATACCAGCTTGCTGTCATAACAATGGGTGAGAGGGGGCATGGGGAGGCCCAATGGAACCCGGCTGAGATGAGGCCATGGCCTCCGGCCTGTACACTGCCTGGGTCATTCATATACTTGTCTATGTGGAGCCCTGAAACACAGCCATCTGCAAAGATCTGTCTTTCCCACAGGCACAGGGTTATCTCCTCATACCCTGCTCAGAGTGGGCAAAGGTTTTTGGTGCGTGGGAGCAGCAACAGGAAGAAACTAGGATCACTGCCCTAGCTTGTGCCAGCCATTACAGCTGTGGGCTCATGAATCAGGGACTTGTGGCCTGCTGAGAACCTAAGATCACCACCACCCCCCAGAAGCCAGGGCCCTGCCTGGCCTTCCCAGGGCTAGGTGCCTTACAAGAAGCAGTGGTGCTCAGGCTGTGGGCAGTGGTGAGACCTAGCTAGCAGGAAGGGCAGAGGTAGAATTTCCACAAATGCAGGAGGGCTTGACCTGACCTGGAGGGGTCTGTGCGGGAGGAGTCCAGTCCCTCCTGGGCCCCCACCCCACAAGCTGCCTCTTGCACCCAGGCTGCGGGAAGAGAAGGCCCTGATGCAGAAGATGATGCAAGAGGAGCGTTTGCAGCGGGCCCTGGCCCGGGCCCAGGCTGAGATCAAGAAGAAGGTGGGAAGGGTGCCTGAGATCACTCTGGGGAGGGTCCCAGGGTCCCCTAACCTGTGCCCCCCTCTGAGATCCTTCCACAGACAGCATCACTAAGGCCAAGGGAAGGGGCAGCTGCTTTCAGGTACAGCTAGGCACCTCTACCCACTTCATCCTAGGATGCCTCCTCCAGCTGCCAGCCCAGGCCCATGGGCCTCCCTCTTGCATACACTCCTGGCTAAGGCAGGCCTGGTGGTAGCTCCCACCCTGCCTGGTGCAGGCCCTCAGATCACAGAACTGACACCAAAAGCTCAGCTCCTGGGGTCCCACTGCCCCACTCACACCCTAGCCCGACCCCAGGCCAGTTTTACTGCCCATCACTGGGGCTCCTCTTGCTGGGTCTTAAGGTCTCACCCCCATGGTGAATGGGCTGAGGCAGTCACTTGCTTTCTGGTCTTGGCAACAAGAAGGAAGCAGGCCCTAAAGCAGACAAGCATGGGCCTGAAGAGACAGGAAGCAGACTTTCTGTTAAAGGGCCTGTTCATGCTATCATTTGGGGAGGGTGAACACTTCAGGGTCTCCTATGCAGTCCCAGAGCGGAGGATGGGTCCGGTCCACTCAGTTTAGCCTGGCATTTCCCAGACTATGTGTTCAGAAGTCCCTGCAAGAGGTGTTTGGAAAAGCTCAGTGATGTTTCAGAGTTGGGCACCCAGACATCATGGAGTCTACTCAGCGAGTGCAGGCTAACCAAGTTCATCTCCTCCACAGAGAGGCAGGAAACTCGTGTGCTGCTCCCGCCCCCCAGCTGTAAGAGTGAAGGACAAGTCTGAGCACACACTGATGGACAAGGATAAGGAGGAGATGCTGTTCTTCTTCACTTAGTTTTGCAGGGCCCAAGCTGGAGCGGCTGAGGGCTCAGGGAGAAGGCTGGCTGGCACTGGAGGCAGGAACGGGGCTGGGTCTGAAGGGACCCTGACTCTGCCCTCATGGTCTTCTTTATGCTTCCTTATTCATGTGAAATAAACTCATGTCTCTGTGGAGTCTAGTAGCTCTCAGGTTACCCAGCTCAGCAGCCCTCTCTTTGGTCATTTCCTCATGCCTGAGGGAAGGAGTGCCATCTTGATTCCCATCTGAAAGAGTGCATGGAGAGAAGCAAAGGCCATTCCCTATTGGGAGGTGGTGTGGGACCCATTCCATCCCACAAGACAGAAGAAAAGCCAGTGGTGAGCTAGGTAGATGAAAGGGTTATTACTACCACCTAAAGGGGGAAAAATATCTCAACACCATACACACAGTCCCTTGAATTAAGCCAGGAGAAAACTTTTGGTGTGTGACAATACAAAAACTTTTATTATTCATTTGCACTAAAATTGGGCCCTTCTCAGCAGGGAGCCTCCTTGTCTAGAACTAGGACAGCCAATCCCATCACTTGATGGTGGATACTCACTGGGGGGTTATGGGAGAAGGCAGGGGCTCTCTCTGAGATGGGGTCTCAGGGCAGGTGACAAGGTGCCTGGTTCCTTGTGGAAGGAGGAGAGCCCTGATGACATACAGGCAAGTTGAACCCTGAACTCTAGTCTGTGACACAGCAGAGATTTGTGGAAAGGAACTTTTTCAAATGGGTTTCAAATCTCCTTGTGGGAAGCAGCACCTGGGCAGATGACAACCCAGAAAAGGATGAAGAAAGGACTCCCTCTAACTTGGCCTCCTCCTCAAATTCAAGAAACAAAGAAATACAGAAAGGGCAGAATTCGAATGATTCCCAAGTCTCAGAACCAAAACAACATCTGAATAAAGATATACTTCAAAAAAGGCACAAAGCAAAAAGAAAACAATTCTGAGTTACCCTGTGTCCAGTCTATTAACTAACAAATAAATATGTGCAAGGTAATCAACTTGTTTCCTTTTGCAAGACAGACCCTACTCTGTAAAAATATACATGGACGTATTCTATGCACATCTGCAACCTCAAAGTATACACGTGTCGTTATAGTCCTATACATAATTTACAACAGAACATCACTTTATAAACCATAGTCAAATACTATTTAACATTAATGTTCAAACATGGAGTTTAGAAAAATTATTTCAAAATTTTTAACTCTTCCATCCCAACTATAAGCTGTACTTCTGGTCTACAATGAGGGCTCATTACCAGGCCACTGATGGGTGCCAGTACATTCCCAGTCATTTTCTTCCAAAACTAGCTGCCTGTCTGCCCTGCTAGAACATGGATCAAAATTTGGCTTTACTGGGACAACAGGACTTCTTTGGCCCGCAGTGTGGCAAAACCAATCCGCCCACAAATACCACCCAAGGTACTGAGAAATGGTCTGTCCCATAAGCTCTCAGAAAAGAATGGGATTTCTAGATCTCTCTTGGCCACAGTGCTGAAACACAACTAAAAGACCCTGTTTGGATTTACTACAGAGTTGTACTTGAGCAGGAAGCCTGTGTCCTACCCTGCTTCCTGCTATTAACATCTAAGGGGATTCCAGGCTCTAATGCACATGCTTGGCATGGACACAGAGCCTGGGTAAGGTGACCCTTGCCTGTAAAGGCAGTTTCCAAGAGTACAATGCAAACTGGCTCCTTACAAAACAGAAGGAAAACATTTTTATAGATGTAGCCAAGAGCCTATAATTAACTAGGCTGGACTTCTGAGCAGAAGCCAAGTGGAGTCTCCCCAGATCCTGTACCGTATCATCTAAAGTATCAGGCAGGTGCAGCTGAGATGTGGCGTTTTGTCTTGCTCAGGCTGTGGCTGGTGTCACTGAAGGTCCCTGTCACTGAAGGTCCCGCATGTTGATAGTGCTTCCTGGTACCTGTGCAGCCTCGGGCCCAGTACCACTTCCAGTTGCCTGATACACCTCCTGCAAAATCAAGCAGAGCAGTGAGAAAGGAAGATAGAGGAAGAAGGGAGGGAAAGAGTGGGAGGCAGTGCAGAGGTCAGGTCCTGCATCTCAGTCCCACAGTTTCTCAGGACAGGCAACTGCACCCTGGTTGTGGGGGAGGGCAGTGGTAATAAGGCATCTGATTTTTCTTAAGACATGCTTCTCCCTTGTTTTATTTTTTGACAATAGTGGAGTTTGAAATCAGGGCCTTGTACATGCTAGGCAAGTGCTCTACCACTTGAGCCATGCCCTCAATCCTATTCCTCCCTTGTTTTGAACCTAAGTTCCTTGAAGAAGAAACATCAAACATTAAAAAATGGTAAGCAAAAATGAACTCAATATTAAGTTTTTCCAGGTTTTTCTTACACACACTTGAGGTACTCACACAGATTCAAGCACCACGTATCTTTCTGTAAAACAAGATCACCTTTGTCTAGTGTTGCATGAGCAACCCTCCAGAAAGCAGGTATCACCATTTGCACCATCAACAGCCTCCACTGGACACTCCACCCACCTCCTCTTTTGGAAGGAATGCTCCCACTTTGTTATCATTAGATTCCAGGCTGCAGTGAACAATCTTTTGGCTACTGATTAGGTTGGACCTCGTTCCTTTAGGAATGGTCTCATGAGTGGGCTTGCCAGGCACAGTGGAGTAGGGAGTTCTGATACGAGATGGAAATCCAGTAAGCTACATACCCAAATCTGAATTATCATGGCCACCTATTCTCAGCTTAACCACGTAGCTATGATAACTACTGAATGTGCCTGGTGTCTTCTCCTATAGGTTAAAAGGTGGTCAGATACTTGCTTCCCTTCCCACAGAAGTAACTAGAACTTCTGAATATAAAGCAGGTCATGAGTACATTATGTTTCACCTTGTCCACAAGCAGGAGCTGCAGTGACAGCCAACCTGAGCTTCACTCAGAGCTGCCCCTCTGACTGCCTCTCCCAAAGGCAGAGAAAGCACCCTGGCCAGCAACCCAAGGAGATGCCACAGCAGGCCTGCTGCAGCAGCTGGCCTGTCCGCAGGCCTGTCCCTTGATGTGGGAAGCCCAATAACGGTCTTAACAAGAAAAAAGAGGGTTGTAGGCATCCAGACCTGAAGGACGTAGACAGGCAAATCCATGGTGAAGTAGGGGTGGAAGGCAGAGGGCTGTGGGCTGAGGGCCAGCGGCAAGATTCCTTCACCTGTGGGGTCATCCTGGGGAGGCAACCACCGAAAAGACTGTTCACATGTTAAACAACACAGCCCCACTGTGCACTTTGCCCTGATAAATCCCTTTACTGTGATGCTCAGGAAAGCTGGACCACCCACCACATTCTAGGGGTTGGGGGATACTGGCCCCTCAGCCTGGCTCTCACTCTTGCCTTGATCCAAGTTTAGTCTGCTGCGCCTGGAATTCTTTGCTATCTGGCTCCTCTCCACTCCCCAGTTATTCCCACACTCATACCCCTCCCCTCAGCACCAACACCTCATTTCCTTCTACAGGTGTTCCTGAATTCCCCATGGATGCCAGGGGCTTTCCCACAGCCCAGATGGAAGGGTCCAGAACAGATAGGGGCTCCCTGAGGGGGAGGATGCCAGGACTCCCACAATCCAGTTCACCTGTCTTTCACATATGCGGCCCATGGCCACCCACAACCCCAACACTGAGCATCTTATACTGCTGCCTCCCCATTCTCCCACTGCCTCGAGGATCAAGCATGGTACTACCGTTTCCGTATTATGGGTGACAAACTGAGGTCAGTGTGCTAAAGCAACTTGCTCAAGACACTAGCCAGCGAGGGACAGATGAGAGATTCAAACACCTCTTTACTCAGGTGTTCCTTAAAAACATCCCATGCACTTCCTTTCCAACTGGTTGCTTTTCAGCCTGAGGTACTATTTTCTTTCAGTCTCCCCACTTCAAGCCCCTGGTCCACTCCTGGAGTGCCTTCTCCACTTCTGACTTGCCCTCTCTGGTTGTGCTCCCTTGGAATGGGTCACTAGTCCCTATCTCTGGGGACTTCCTTATTTCTTCACAAGTTCCAAGATGCTCTGGGCCCAAACCTGGAAGGGATTTTTTTCCTGCTCATCTCCACAGACAAGCCTGAGTCCTCACTCCCCATCAAACCCTTGCCTACTTCTTGTTTCCTTTAGCCCCCTTCACTGCCTGCCTCTCCAGCTCACCCTTCACTCCGGCTGCCTCCCTCTCACCTACCCATGCCCTGTGAATCCTGCACAGCCACTGCAGCCCTATCTCTTTCCTTCACGAGTTTCTCTCAGGATATTGACCCCATGGACCTCTCCTGTTTTTAAGCTCCTCCTAAGCATCAGAACCAGGCCTGCTCTGTACTTGGATGTCGCCTGCCTCTGTGATTGCACCTGCTTGCAGCAGGGTAATTTCACAGCTCCCAGTGATATGGAATAAAGAGGTGCTTGTGACTGAAACCTCAGCTTCTTATCCCTTCCTTCCCTGCCAATCCAGCCTCTCAGCAGTAAGACTGAAGTGTAGGTGTCCATGGGGCTGTTAACAAACTGTGCTCTGTGGGAGCCCATTGGCAGGCTGTCTGCTGAGCCCCAAAAGGTTGCTCGCCTGTCCTTCAGTGATTCAGTGAGACAGGAAAGAAAGTGGAAGATACAGAAAAAACAAAAAAGCCCTTCCCACTACCTTTAACATAGAAAGGCTACATCCAGGGGTGTGCTGTGAGCCCCTTCACCCAAGCTCCAACAGGAGAATCAGTTCTGGGGAGGAGCAGGGCAGGGCATAGCCACCCTGGACTGCCTCAAACAAGACTTTATCCTGCATAAAAAAGCCACAGGAGGCCCTTGGCAGGAGAGAGGTACTGGCTGTCTACACCTCAGATAGAGGTGGAGAAGACAGACCAGGTGGGAGAACTAGACACGGGGTAAAACAGTGCCACAAACCTGATGCGTCAGTCCTAATAAAGGCAAGAACTTGCACAGATGCAGTGAGACAGGCTGGGAAGAAGAGAGAGGGTGGGGTTAATTAAGATGTCCGGGATGTGGACGCGAACTTGGGAAAGTTTAGATGGGGGTTAGGGCATTTCACTGAGAGGGTGGTGGTAGTCTCCAGCGGACCTGGGGATAAGACATGGTGTCACCCCTCCACCCAGCCTGCCATGCAGACCTGAACATCCATGTGGCTCCCACCTGCATTACCGGAATCTGGACACACTGCATGCCTTCTGTTGGAGCTGGTCCTGGCAGACTTCCACTGGGAACCCCAAGGTTCCCACACAAACAAACGCTCTGGCCTGCATGGAAGGGAGGAGGACTGATCTTGCCACGTTTCATTTTTCTTTGAGTTGACTCTGAGGCTCCTAAAATGAGACAGATTAAAAAGTGACACCTCCAATAATATTTGCTCTACTGGCTCTTTCCCTCTCTGAGGTCACAATGCAGAGAAGATGGCTTTTTGGTAACCTGTCATTCTATACAGCTGGATTGACTTACAATCCCTCAGCAGGAACACCACAAGGCAAAAGGCAAGACAAGCAGATAAACCCACCAGGATTTTGATTAGAAAATTTAAAAACATACTACATAATTTGCCAGACTGCAATCAAACCCAAGGTACTCATTCCTAGAGAGCAGAGGCCTGGTCCCATTCCTCTAACTCCCTCAGCTCTGGACAGGCGAAGACATGAATACCACTGTGTGCAACTAAGGACATGGAGCCACAGAACGAGGGAAGAGAGAAAGGAAGCAGGCAGGTCATCACATCCCACCCTTTGGCACCTCAGACACATGGCTAAGTGATTTCATAATCTTTCAGACTTGCTTTTGTCTAGTTTCTTTTTCAAAAGTCTTTACACTGGTTTTAAAAACATATGCTTTAAAAATGAATGAAAGTAGCAGAATGAAAACCACCAAAAACTGTTTAAAAGGAAGAGGGAGGAGGGATGTGGTTAACAAAGAATAATATAGATTGAGTGAATTTGATCAAAGCACATTATATGTTATAAATATCACAATGAAATCCCTTTGCACAATTAATTTATGCTAATAAAACTTTTTTAAAGATACTGAAGCATGAAGGAGAGGAAAACATTCTACTACCCAGGATTAGCCCCCGGGGGCACCAGAAAGCCCTGGTGTGGGATGAGAGCACATACAGAGAAGATCCATGGCCCACTGTGAATTGTGGTCCGGGACCTTGGGTAAACGACTTAGCTCTGGGTCTCAAGTGTTTCCAGCTGCAATCTAGCAGAAGCAGTCCCCAGCTCGGAAAAGTTTGGTAGGCTGAGTAAGTGTACCTGCGGTAAGCACTCAGCGCAGGCAAGGCTCACAGCAAGCACCAGTGTGCTCAGCATCCTCAATGCCATGTCCACACAGCCTGCCTGGGCTCAGCGATGTGAGGCTTATAAAAACAACTGCATTAGCAATGATCACACAAGTAGATGTAATGCAAGAATTTAATTTTGTTGAATTTAATAAAATAAAAAGAAACAAGTGACACAAAGCACTAAATTTCTGAAAAAATATTTCTTTCTGAAAATTCCTAATGGTCTCAAAGGGGAAGAGGGAGAGTGTGGAGAGGTTTGACTCATTTTTGTACTCTTGTGTCCATTTTAACCCATAGCAGTGGACTGCTGCCTTTTTGGTAGCAGGGTTAACTGACAGGCTCTGCAGCTTGTGCCCATAGCAGTGCCATCTGATCTCTAAAGCCCGTGCTGCCTCCCCAGCTTGCTCCCCTCACTCCAGAGGACCGCCTCTCCTATTGCAGGGCCAGCACCCTGAGCATAGTGTGTTCGTCTATGGCCATTACAGTGGGCAGACAAGCTTGCACCATTGGGTCACAGGCACACAGTCTGCTGTTTTCTCCTGGTGTGTGAGGAGACCTTTCTCTTTGAAGTACAAGTACTAATCCCGTCATTGCGAGGGTGAGGGTACTTCTGGGGAGCACATATTCAGCTCCAATGCAGTGCAGGGAGATGTGGTTCCATTGCATTTTTGAGTACCAGTGCCCTTCTGCACCTGTTGTGTGTCCCGAGTCAGACCTCCCATCCATGGGAGTTTTGGGAAAACAGCTCCTCAGACCCTGTGCTATTCTGTGCGGAAGGACGCTCAGCCTAACTCTCATAGCTCCAGATATGGGAAGCCCCACACAACTAAAACAATTTAACATGCAACTGTATTCACTCACAAGGAAAAGTATTCACGCTATTAATAAAAATGTGTATTGTTTTTAAGAAGTCTTATGCTTAATACTGAAACATCAGCAGTATTTTCTGGGTGGTGGAGTTGCAAGGGAAAGTGCATGACAAATCCATTTATTTTATTTTTTGGGAGTAAACGACCAGTCAGTCCCACTTATGCTGGACACTCACCCTTTGCTAAACCACAGCTGTGCTCATGCTACCCTGCGCTTGACTCCAGGGCATCTGAGCCACTTTAACCAATCAGCCTCCTCAGCCTGCTGGATCACTTCTTTATCCTTCCAGATGAACTTAAAATTGACAGGTGGGTCCTTCCCTGCCCCTTTTAAATTCCTTTAGAATTTTTTAAGTAGCTGAATAAAGTAGAATTGAGCATTTTCAGCCAAGTACTCAGCAGGACTTACCTGGGACCTTTTCCATACATAGATGATTTGTCTACTGACCCCAAGTTTTATTACTTTTATAATCGGTAGGGGTGAAGTCTACTTTTTCATTATCTTCTGACTAGTGTAGCAGAAAAACTGATTATATATATATATATATATATTTATGAAAATATAACTGTACAATTAGCTACTTATTGACCCTTCTGACTACTCATTATTTGTAATGATTCATGTGTGTTTTCTCTTTTTTTTGGTAGGTATTGGGGGGTTGAACCCAGAGCCCCATGCATGCTAGGCAAATGCTCTGTACTTGAGCCACACCCCCAGTCCTTTGTTTGTATTTTGTTTTTTAGACAGGTCTCACTACCTTTGCCTGCGCTGGCCTTCCAACTTGTGATCCTCCTGCCTCTGCCTCCTAAAAACTGGGATTACAGGTGTGGGCTGCCCTGCTCAGCTCCCTGTTTTCTAAGGCAGATGATCACATCATTGATAAGTCATTATCACTTCCTTCTTAGCTATTCTGTAAATATTGTGTTGTTTGCTTCGCTACCTTTTCCTGATTTTGATGGGGTTGCCTCTAGTACCGTTCCTCTGAACTATCATTATTAGAGAAATGTTTTGGGATCTCAGTTGATTAAAGTTTATGTTTTTTTTTTTAACCTGGCAGATCATGAATGTTATCAACTGCCTTGTTTGGCATAGTGAAGACATTGTGGTTTTCTGCTCTCTGATATGGCCAACAGTGTGGACAGGCCACCCTACTAAACCTGAGCCACCTAAAACCCTGGGTGAGTCCTACTAGTCCAAAATTGAAGTGCTGTATCTTACTCAGGATTTCAACATCTATTTTACCTGTGAGAGGAAAGGCATGTACCATGTGGCTGGCAGGCTCAGGGATGGTTCTGGAGTCAGTCTTCCTTAGGTTCAACTCCTGGTCTTGCCCCCAAACTAGCTATATAGGCCTAAGTCAGTTATCGCTCCATATTTTAGGCTCCTTATTTAGAAAATGAAGACATCAGGACCTATACCTCAGAGGGTAGTAGTGAGAACTAAAGGAGGTAACAGACATAAGAGGCTTAGAACCATGCCAGGTACACACTAAGTCTTAGATATAATACCTGTAAGGTTTTAGCATTAGGATATGCTAGCTTTGCACACTAAATTTAAAAGCTTCTGAAACATGTTCAACAATTAGTGGTTCTGCAGAGAGCGGGTGTCTGCCACATGGAAAACAAAGGAGCTGGGGGCACATGCTGGGTCCCAGTAGGGAAGCAGCACAAGAAACAAGAAAGGCATAAACATTAACAGAAACCAAAGTGGCTCATGCAAGTCCAACCCCCTTGGGTGCTTCTTCATATTCAAATCTACAACTACACAGGAACTGTGTGCATATCACTAGAATTGTCTTTCTTCCACAAAGATGTGTGAAAACAGTGTAACTTCCTGGCTGACTGACAGCCCTGCACTCACCTGCCTTCCTCCCCTCTCCCTTCAAAGTGGTCAGTTGTGTGTGCATATGGCAGGCACAGGCAGAAAGGGAAGAAACATGACTCAGGCACCTGAAGATTTTTGTTTTAAAGGGGAAAAAAAAAATCATAAATACTAGATTACTGAATTCAAGGCTTAATTCAACCAATTATCCATTATAGCATTTTAGCCATGTGTGTTCAGCTTAATCAGATCAACCCTCTGCCCACAGCTGAGGTTTTGCTGAGAGGCCAGTCCAGTGCTATCAAGCCACATAGGTGGGAGGCACACACTAGCCTGGCCTCTTCCACACTGCCTCTCAGTAAAGAAACCACATGTTGTCTCAACTTTACAAGTAAGGATACCAGAGAGCCTCAGGAAGTCTCACAAGGGGTGTTCCAGAAGGAATAGCTGCTCACCATTTTAATGGCAGTTTTAATATCAATTTTTAATTATACAATCAGTGTATTCTCAAATACAAAAAGTAGAAATAAGCATAACAAAATATTCAATCTTATACAGAAAGAATATCCATGCACGAATGTTCTATCACTTTTGTTTCTTTGCCAATATATATACAAACGTGTCTATCAACACACAGCTTTTTTTATATAGACTTACAAGAAACACGAACAAAGCGTGCAGCTTTCTTGGTGGACATTTAAGTTACAACTGTTCATCATAAACAGTTCTGCATAGAAGAGCAGCTGGCACACCACACCTTTATCTGGTTATTTCCATAAGCTAAATTCCAAAGACTGCAAGAGTGAACTGAATGAACATGGTGCATTTTTTGGCTCAGGGAAGCATCGCCAAATGATCCTCCAGAAATTCCAGGCTGGGGCCACAAGGACATGTCCCTGCACCTGGGTGGGCACCGTGCTTCTGCTGGCCTGTTAGCTGCTTTCTGTGAATGTTCACCCATGTGCTCACTGCCTTTTCATGGAGGCACTCATCTGCCGCATCACCTTCAGCAGTCTCATTTGATGCTGCTTCTGGTCAAATCTGTGCAGACAAGATGTGCTAATGAGGCCCCTGTGTTCCCCTGGTGCGGTGCAGTGTGGTGGGGAAGAGCAGAATCTCTGTCCAGTCTGCCTATGTGACACTGTCTCAGTGGCTCAACTGCAGAAAGGACTGCTGGTAATGGCATCTACCTTCTAGGGTTATTGTGAGATCCAGATTCATGAGTTCGTACATGTACAGCACATCGAACAGCAGTAAGTGTGCCTACTATTAACAGCTTTTCAAAAGCATCAAAATTTGGCTAGTCTTTATTCTGTAATTTCCATCTTTCCCCCCAAAGGCCAG